TTGTCAATTAAATGAATAGAATTTACTGGTATTGGGGATAAAATTTGTTTCTATTGCCAACAAAAAAGCAAAAAAGAAAAAGGAAAATCATCTATCTTTTGATATTCATTTGACTTTATTTTTCATGGAAATTATTAATTAAAGGGAAATATTTTTTTACAATAATTTTTAGAATTTGTTCCATTGCGAAAAAAAAAGAAAAAAAATAAAATAAAAACTTACTACATTGGCCTAGAAAATGAATTTTCATCCAAAACCTAGAAAATGTCTAGGTGGCAAGGAATGGTGAAAAATGTTTTCCATGGCAAATGTTATGCACTTCTTCTACCATGTTATGCACTTCTTCTACCAAAATATTTATTTATTCATTCAAAGACGAACGTTAAGTCCCCATTATTTTAAATTTTATTTGATGGAATAATATTTTTTTGAAGGATGGAAGGGTGAAAAAAAAAGAAAATTTTTCTATTTACGTGTAATGTTATTTTATGGAACATTGTGTGGTTGAAAATATGAGGGAAAAAATTTAATTTAATTTGATGACGACCAAACTTCTGTCGAAGAAACATTTGCCTTCTTGGAATCAATAAAAAAAAAATTATAATGAAATTTTATCCAACTTTTTACCACTAACCTCACGACGCCTACGGTCGATAATTAGAGAAACTCCAGAATTTTCTAGAACATCAAAACAAGGTTCGATAATATTATTAAATCGAATAAATTATTAATATATATAAATATCTAAAAAGTCTTTTGGATTCTGTGGGCTGTGGCCTTTGTTTATTCAACTTTACTATTATAATATATATCAAAGTAATGCAACTTGTTTAATGTCTATTTGCTGGGTTGTCAAGCATTAACATTAAAGAACTCAAATATTATTTTATTTTTGAATTAATGATGTGGATCGAACGTGTCCTCAATATCTTTAAACACACAAGAACATGTATACTGAAGGTTTTGTCCTTCTTACATTAAAGTTTTCTAGTTGGGTGTTACCTAAATTCGATGAAATGTAGAAGAGACACGTACAAAGCAAGAGATACGTATAAATTAAGATATACGTGTAAATATAAGAACTAAATATTTTATCTATTTATGAAGTAAACATAAATACAATAAAATATTATATTCACATATGATAATTGTGTGATTTTAATTTTATACTAGCTGAAAGAAAGTGTTATGCAGCATAACTGGTGTTAAATAATAGTATTAAATGTTGTTATATGACGAAAAACTAAGCCCATGTTTGAACCACATTTTAGGAAAAAAATACATTATTCGTGTCAAATTAATGGGAAATGTGTGGTTAAAAAATAAGGAAAAATTTTAGATTTACGTTTAATATTATTTTATTGAAAAATGTGTGGTCGAAATGATGTTAAATCACTATTGAAAAATGTATTTTTTTGAAAATAATGTGGCTCAAACAAGCTCTAAATATAAAATTATGAGTTGCAAACTGTCTTATAAATTAATATCACAATATTATATTATGTAGCATTAATTATGCTAATCCCGAATTAATAATCGAGTCACTTCTGAAAAACTACTCTCTGTGTGTGTGTTTGAGCTATATTATTTTGAAATAATGTATTTCGGAATAAGAAATGCTACATGTACATAATGGTGTCCATAATTACACGTGACACTAGATCCATCATTTAATTTAAATCTCATATTTGCACATCAATAATCAGATGATTGCCACATCATATTATGGACATCATTATGTACAATTAGGAATTTTCCGTTTCGAAATAGTAAATTGATGAAAAATGTGTGTTTAAAAAATGAAAAAAAATTTAAATTTGTATAAATATTATTTTATTGAAAAATGGGTAATTAAGATGATATCGAATTACCATTTAAAAATGTGGCTCAAAGCCTCAAACATGACCTTTATTCTCAACGAAGAGCCAAAGAAAAAAAGTCAACTAATTGCTCTTAAAAACTGGGCATGATTTTATGATTGTGCAGCAATCAAGTGGTGACAAGCACTGATGTCACCCAATTGTAAGTGGGACTCACTCCTCCACCAATCAAATCCCTCAAATTATCTATTCAAAACCAAAGCCACTCCCACCATATCACCACTCCAAGAATTCCAGAACTTTCTATGGAACTTTCCTTCGTGCCAAAAACAAGATAGGGCAATTTAATAAAATAAAAGATGCCACCTCCAATGTCCAAAAAGATCTAGAAACTTCCATTAAAATGGATATTTTATTACCACCCAACCTGGATTAAATTCAGCTCTCTTCCTAGCATTCATCATCTCAACTGCTCAAACGACCTTCCTAAAAGAGAAAGATTAGCAAGAAAGTTTTCTAAAAGTATCCTTTATCTTTAACTTCTCCAATTTACATTCGCATTTTTTGAAATTTTGTTTCAAAATTCATGAACCCTGCAATTTTTTCTTTGAATTTCATAAGTTTTTGCATATCTTGTAATAAGAACATCATAAGAAATATATAAGAAAACTTTATAATGAATCCGATATATCCAGTGAAGGAAGAGTATCCGGGAGGAGGATCATCAAGTTCAACTGCATGGCAATCAAGAAATCAGTCAGATGGAGTGGCGCCACCGCCTCCGCCACCGCCACCACCGCAGCCAATGGAAGGGCTGCACGATATGGGCCCTCCACCATTTTTGACCAAAACCTTTGAAATGGTGGAGGATTCGACCATTGATAATATTGTTTCTTGGAACAGAGGGGGGCATAGTTTTGTTGTGTGGGATCCCCATTCTTTCTCCACCAGTGTTCTTCCAAGATACTTTAAGCATAATAATTTCTCGAGCTTTGTAAGGCAGCTGAATACTTATGTAAGTACATATTTTTGTTCATATACCCCTTTGTGGAGTGTTCACTGATCACTTCAGCAAAAGTGGCTATTTGCTTGGGTTAGGGTGTTAAACTTCTGAAATTAGTATGCATACTGCAAATTGGATTTGAAACATGGTTTATTTATGATTTTTTTGAACATCATTTCTGTATATTAGCTGCTACTGATACAATCTCAAGCTTGTCATATTTGCCCTTATAAAGAAATTCGTTCATTTTCTAAAGGTTATCTGATTGTGGATCCATCCCTGGTGAAGATTTACTGAATAATGTTGAAGATGATGAAGCCTTTTGAGTATGGTTTCAATGAGATTCCCATCAATATCAAACATGAGAAAGTATAGTAAGTACTGAAAAGTTGGCTTAAATTTGAGACTAATTCTTGCAGGGTTTTCGAAAGATCGATCCCGACAAGTGGGAGTTTGCGAATGAAGCATTTCTTAAGGGTCACAAGCATCTGTTGAAGAACATTAGGAGAAGAAAGGCACCAACTCATCAGTCTCTTCCTCCACAGCAAGTTATGGTTGATCCTTGCGTTGAGGTTGGAATGTTTGGATTAGACGAGGACATTGATCGTTTGAAGCGCGATAAGCACGTGTTAATGATGGAACTCGTGAAGTTAAGGCAGCAGCAGCAGAATACGCGAGCATATCTTCAAGAAATGGAGTCAAGGTTACAAGGGACGGAGAGGAAACAGCAACAGATGATGAATTTCTTAGCACGAGCAATGCAGAATCCCGAGTTTATTCAGCAGTTGGCTCAGCAGAAGGGGAAAAGGAAAGAACTTGAAGAGGCTATTAGTAAGAAGAGACGACGACCAATTGATCAAGGGCCGAGTTATGCTAAAGGAGAGGAGTCGAGAAATCCATATGGGTTCCAAGTTTCTGAACTGGAGGCACTCGCACTTGAAATGCAAGGATTTGGTAAGGTGAAAAGGGAGCCGGAGGATGAGCTTGAAGAACTCGAACACTTTGAGAGCTCGGATAATGAACTCGACGAGGAATTCTGGGAGGACTTACTGAATGAGGGATTTGATGAAGAATTTGGTGCCACTGGAAATGAAGAAGGTGAAGAGGAAGATGTTAATATATTAGCTGATAAGTTAGGATTTTTAGGCTCAAGCCCCAAATAATCCTCTGCTTCCTAGAGCACTGCATCGGTGAACATCTCATTCTCAGTCCTCCGTTCGATCTTTCTTTAGAAGCCATCAGCCTTACTCTATTTGAAAATCATTGTCAATAGCTCGGTGTAAGTTTTATGATACTACCAATACCTCGATCTAGGTTCGGGATATTCTATGTTCTGAGTAGCAATCAGTGTCATGCCTCAAAGTAGCTTCGGGACAATCCTTTGTTATCTGGAGTTATCATTGTCAGTGCCTTGATGTAGGTTCGGGGTAATCCTTTGCTTGCACTGTCAGTACCTCGGTATAAGTTTGGGACAATCCTTTCTTCTCTATAGGCTTCGTCTCTGTAGCAATTACTGCCAATAGCTTGATATAGGTTCAGGATATTCCTTTGTTCTTTGTAGCAAGGCTTCAATCCAAATAGAACTTAACATTTTAGGCAACCTTTGCTATACCTTTCATACCATTTGATCCATCTCTGTTCCTATCAATTTTAAGTTTTTTCTTACTACTGACAGAAGCTCAAGTCAGTGAATCCTAACTTGTGATTCAATTCTTCCACAGATGATCGACTCAAGCTAAAAAAAGATAACGTGAAATATCGACCTGAATTATGTCGATTTATGTCACTGTCACCTTACTGTTTCTAGTGTTCCAAACTTCTTTACTGATTTTGTAGGCATTTCTTGCTTTTTTCCTTTCTATCAAAACCCCATTTATCGATTATTTCGATATCTATTTTCCAATGTTTGATCTTTCGTTCGTTGACTTTAAGTCTGTATTTGTTTGTTGTAGTTTATTTTGCGATCAAGATTTCCAATATTTTGTCTCACTGTTTGTTACTTTTGGCTTCGAAAGTTAAGTAACTTTTTGAGTGTTCAAAGTTAAACGGTTTTTGGAAGTCACAATTGCCTGCTGATTAATTCAGGTGCTTTTAAAGCATTGCAACCATCTGGTCGGCTTGAATTTTCTTGACATGTCTTCATCGTTTCGATGTGACAGATATTTATTTGGATTGGACAAGATAGCGAACGTGCACCTCATATGCTTATTCTTGCACAGTGGGATTGGCTCCTGAAGCCTTGTACTTGACAAGATACGAAGAGTTTGGTTCGAGTTTTCATCGCTCGGGTAGGTATATGCATTCTGAAGTGGACAGACGATGTGTTATGAATCTCGTCAAAGCATTTATTTTCGAGTAGAAAGGGACGTTGGTTCAACTCTTGTCGCCTAGCTCTAAACTGAAGTAAGCATATACTTTTATATGAATATCGATTATCAGTCATGTCGACTTTAGATCACAAAAAAATTAAATAACAGGAAATCTAATTCTTGCCTGATATTCCCATCAAATGTCCGAATCTTAAGCACGGAATTTCTCTTTTCAAACCTACCAAAGATTGGAGGAATGTGGTCAAATGAAGATATTTATCTTTTCGTAATTTTCTTGTGCCTAACAAAGAAGTTGGCATTTAAATTTGGGAACGATTTTGAAAATTGATTTTTTCACCGTTATGAGAAAAGTGGGGACCATCTGTGAGAGAAGAGGTCAAACTTTACCTGGAATAGTGAAATAATAATAAAAAAAATTAATTCTTTGGGGTTGAAAAATCACTCCCAAACACCCTCAGTATCTATCGTAGGTAATAGCTCAAATAATTTTGTAGATTGAAATTTACTCCATTGTAAATTAAATAATTTCATACGAAATGTGTCATATTTGCTATAATAATTGATTATTAAAGATTCATATGAATTTTTAAAATTTAGGCTTATTGAAACTCAATGTACATAGCAGCTGTTTGATTTTACTGCTAACTAAATTAGTATAAAAAATTGATACGTTAAAAGTGGAGAATTATGTTACTCCCTTCATCTTAATAAGATAAGTTATGTTTGTTTTTATTTTCACACAGATTAATACAATATAATTAATATAGTTTGAAATATAATTTTTTTAATAAACTCTCTATTAGATAATGATTTAAATAGTAGTAATTCACATTTATTAATAACAATGTACATTAAATATGGGTATATTAGAGAATAAAAAAAATAACTATACCGTCAACAAGAAAATTAACCTATAATTTGGGACGGATGAGAAGGTAAAATAATAATAATAATAATAAAATAAAATTGAAAGAAGCAAACCAGAGGAAGTAAAATAGTAAATAGTAAGACAAGATGTCCTCTTTCCTTTGGTATCTATTTCCTCTTTCACCATTGAGAATGTGGGTCTCATTTACTTTCACATATCTTAAAATGACAGTAAATTAAGCTACCGTTCGACAATCATTCAAAGTGTTTTTTCTTTTTTCTTTTCTAAAGGAAATTGAGTTTTAAAATAGTAAGACCCTGTTTGGATTGTATTTGAGTTTTTAGTTCTATTCCAGAATCGTCGTTTAATATCCAAAGGTAAAAGCGGCAGTCTAGGTAATGTATTTGGGGAGGGACTTTCGCTGACTGAATCCATCCATAAACCTACTATTCTATCACTCCTCGCCCGGCATTTACTTGAGAGAAGCAAATCGATTAGAAGCTAAAGGACAATCAAAGTTAGATAGTTTACGAAGTCCCCTCACCAGCATTTTCACTTTTCAAGTTTGAGACACTTTTTTTAAAATTGCTAAAAATGTGTTTTGATTTGTCATTTTCAATTTTTTTTCTCAAAATAGAAAACTAGAAAATGCAATTAGTTTGAAATAAAAAAATTATTTCATGATATTTTATTCTATGAAATTTGATTATTCAATAAAAATAGACAATTTTATGTTAATATATTATAAAGTGATATATACATTCTAAAGTTGGTAAATTTTATAATATTTTTTCTTGCTACAAAATAAAAATAGACATAAATAATAAATTGAGTTCGAAATATAGGAAATAAAAAGAAAAAAAGAATTAATGACTAGGACTAAGAATATTTTTATCTTTGTTTAAAATTTTTATGTAAACAATCATTTAGAGCTTGAACTATTTTTTTTAGATTTTTTTCTAAATTACAGAATTTAATTTTCCAAGATTTTTATTTTTTTAAACTTATTAATTTGAATTTTTTCTTGAATTTCATTTTAGTAAAATTTTATTTGTTAGAATTTTATGTTTTTATTTTAAAAATTCATTTAAATAGGATCTTATTTAAATGCTTCTTTCCCATATTTTGAGTGTTTTCAAAATTTTCAGTGAAAGCATTTAAAATGTCAAAATCGCGTTTTGAGTTTTATATTATAAGTTTAGCATTATTTTCAAAATAACATTTTCAGAAATATTAGACCAAATACTCATTCAGTATTTTAAGAAACTGAAAATAGCAAATTAATTACTTCCTAATATTTTGAACAACGTGTGGTTAAAAAGTAGAAAAAATTTGATTTACGATAAAATATTTTATTGTAAAAATATGTAGTTAAAAATGAATTTTAAAAAAAATTATTTTATTGATTGTCAAACAAGAGCTAAATTCCCCGTCGTCCATTTCCACCAAGTGGTAGGTGAAATAAAACGTAAGAAGTCAATTATTCGATTTTAGACTCACAAAAAAACTATTTTTTTGGTAGAAAATCGATTTCAGACAAGGGATGAGTAAAAATAAGTGTAATTTCAAATTCAAAAATGTTGTATTATAATTACATTTATAAATTATTTTAACTTCGAATATCAACTGTGGGCTCTCTCTCATGTTCTGATCCCATATCATGAGACCCCATGTCTATTTAGGCCTCCATTAACTTAAATTTCAATATAAGCCCAATGTTGACACTTCACTCTTAGAGTTCATGATCAAGCCCATAAATCCATTGACATACATTTGTGGAAAGGATAAAGACATTTATACAAATTTTGGTTTACAAAAGAGGAAATTACAACTGGCCCTACTTTTTAAGTTTACATTTCATTAATTAGTTTTTAATTTTAATCTTTCTTAAATCAGGTTATATTAAATTATTTAACATCAAATTTCAAATACAATTTTAACAATCAATTACTAATTAATTAAACACCCTATTTTATAGTTCAAGATTTTATTGAACGCTAAGTCATTACAAACCCAAATCGAAAATGGTGTTAACAAAGAGTGTAGGTTGAAAATCTCATTGAAGGATGAATAGGAGAATGGAAAAATCAGGATTAACAAAACTAAAAGTACAGAAAGATCTTCGTTAAAAAAAAAAAAATCTTGAAAAATTGGTTCAGGTGGAAAATCTAGTTCGAAGAAGGTACATCAATTCATAATTTTTTTAATCCAATGTTTATTTTATTTTGAGTTCGTGGGCAAGTTGTATTTGAATTTTATTAGGTGATTATGATTTTCATAATGTTAATTTAACTACAAACCATAATCATTTCTTCCAATTGTGGTAGCAATCAAATGTTCGTCATTTATTTGTCAATGTGACTTGACCTTTGCTTTTATTGTGACGAAATTGTTCAGTGGGATTTCGAAGATTGTGAACTAGTTCTCTATGACCATAATGTTTGACAGTGACATGAATCTTGTAACTAATATAGAAATAGATAAAGGAACATCTGAAGAAGAATGATTTAGTCGATGAAGTAACTTATTTCATCAAACTCAATGAAAAACTGATTTTTCTTACAATACATCCTACATTTGTTTTGTATCTAGAATTTCTGCTATTACAACCTTGTTATTCAAAATACTTCTATCTATGTCCGTGACATGTTTTATCTATGTTTGTGACATGAATGTTGTACCAATATTTGAGACTGTTTATTATTGCATTTCCTATCCGATATTGATGTTATATTTATTTAATATTCAAATGTAGCAGTGGAAGTACATTATTCCTGAAGATCTTTGGTTTTCAGAAAAAAAAATACAATGATTGCGGCAAAGAATGTGCTAACAGAGTGATATTGGACATAGCTGCATTACAGTTTAAGCATTGACACATTAGACAAAAGGCAAAGGAGAAAAAATGTTACAAAATGATTTCATCGAATCCATTTCAAACATTATTTACTTGTATTCAATATTCAAAGGTAGATTGAATATTAAACTAACATTGTATGGTATGTGTTTGAACATATTAGTTTGATATGTTCATGAATCATTTCATGTTTAGTAATTAGTATTCTTTTTTGCTTTGACTATCTAGATCTTGTGAAGCATTTTATTTTCATGTATGTGAAAATTTATGTCATGTTGTGTTGTATTGTCATTTCTTCACAGTGAAAATTTATATTGATAGGTTACAAGACTAAACATTGCGTGATTTAGTCTGAAGTTACAGGCCAAAATTCACAGTTCACAAGTCACATATCACAAATATATTACAAGATTATAGGTTACACGTCACATATAGGTCAATTGAAGTCACATGTCAATGGTCACAAACATATTATTGGTCACAAGTTGCAATTTTGGAATTTGATGTATTACATACAGGTTGATATAATATGTTACATTTTATAAACTCTATGCATCACAATTTACACAAATTAATAACATGCCACAATTGACACTAAGTATTATGTAAAAAGTATATAACGTTGTATTTTTCATACCAGCAACATGCAAGAACACTGTCATACAAACTATATTGGCCACATTCATTTTATTTTATTTAAAGAATAAGCTCAGAAATATAAAATTGTAGGTCACAATCACAAGAATTTAGGTCACAAACAATATAAGTATAACATATTACATTTTTCACGGGTAATTTCTTCATAATGAAAATTTAAATCGACACTTCACAGCATTAAACATTGAATCATTCAGTTAGAAGTTACAGGGTAAAATTCGCAGATCACATATCATAGGTCACATATCACAAACACATTACATGTCACAAGTTAAAGGTCACGTATTACATGATAACATACACAAATTACAGGTTACAGGTCACATACAGGACAATTAAAGTCACAAGTCACTGGTCGCAAATCACATTTCGATGCTCACATATGTATTATAAGTCACAAGTCACAGGTCAATAGATATAACATGTGTACATTTCATAAATACTACATATCACAATTTATAGTTTACATAGATTAGTAACATGTCACAATCAACACTAAGTATTATGTAAAAAGTGTATAACACCTTACTTCTTATACTAGTAATATACAAGGACACAGCCATGCAAACTATATTAGTCACATTCATTTTCTTTATTTAAAGAATAGGCACATAAATATAAAATTATAGGTCACAATCACACAATATAGGTCACAAACAAAATCGGTATAACATATTACGTTTTTATTTATACAAATCACAGTCATTTATGACAAATATGTTTTAATCAA